CAATTCCTACCCCCTTATATGTGCTGGAAATGAATGAGCTCTTGGCGTTCATTGGATAATGGTTTATTTTTAATTGTCTTACACTTAATCATATTAAATGCCAAACTGTTAACTTTAGCCTGAGACACATTGTAACACCTAGTCGAAGTTATATGGAGTTTATACAATAGAGATTCTGTGATAGGAACTATTACCAATGTCATTTACCGTGGTTTAAGTTTTTCCTGTAATCTCTCTTGGTCTTCTCATGTTCTGCTAATATCGAAAAAAGTTGTTCGTCTGACATTTTATCAAAAGATTACATGTTTTCATCAATTTCATGATTTGTAACTTATCTTTTACTGTTCTCCTTTATTCATTCCTAGTCTCTTCAGAAAAAAACGTTTTAATCATGTTTCAGAGAGTACTAAAGGGAGTTAGAAGGATATGTGATGAATCTTTTAATGTATTGACGAATATAGTTGTGGATGGACATTCAAAAATTATTAACATTCACTTCACATATTTCCGATTGTATATCTTACATCGTAAAGAGATGCAGTTACAATGGAATCTATATATTTACACAAAATTACAAAACTCTATTGTTCTGTATCTAACAAACCAATTTTATAGTGAACACGTTGTAAAAGCTGACTTAATCCAAAGCTTATATTCTTAAATTTGATACTAATTCACAAACTATGGATTCTTATTTTGTTATAAATATTTCACATAACTATATAATTTATAAATTTCATTCACATAAATACGTATGTAGATATATGTCTTGGTGATATAAGCATAGTAAGATAAACTTATAGAAATATTGTATCCAGAGCATTTCATAATACACCAAATATGGAATATTGAATAAAGTCATTAGTATGATTGTTATTATTTATTAAACCAGATACCTGTTAGAAAACCCAAAAGTTTGAATTACGAACATGATAGTGAAAAAAAATGTAGAAAACATCAAAAAATAAATTCATTGGTAATAAATATTCTTTTACAGATACACATTGATGTGGCCCATAGCCTAAGCTTATCCTTAACACATCCAAGAATGGTAGGCCGGCTTGAGAAAACGCAGCTAAGCTCCGATTCGTTTTCTCAAGCCGGCCTACCATTCTTGGATGTGTTAAGGATAAACTACCTATTTGGGTCACATCAATGTGTATCTATCAATTTACTTGCTAAAGGAGATACGGCTGCTGAAATCTTAAATAGACGGATTTCCAAACCGTTAAATATTCTTTTATTATATCCCAATGATCAGAAAAAAAGTATTTCTAACGTTTCGTAAATTAATATAAGCTACTTCTTCAGAGTAAATAAATAATTGACACTAAATTAAAACAAGTCTAAATAGTACCCAATGCTCAGTTTATTTGAAACCATCAAGTGCAACCTTGGCATTCATATCTATAAATCCATTGGTCTTAAGGAACTAAAATTCTGACTTAAAGTCCTACAGGTTTTTTTCGTGTTAGCTTTATATAGAGACAAAACTAAATACTACTAAGAAATCTGAGAAAGATAAATTTCCTGTTCACGAATAGCATTTAGTCAATGATTGTCGTGGTTGAAGTTAACCTGACTTAATTCAATTCTGTGAATTTATCTTAGACTCATGATACATTTTTATTTCTATGAACAATCAAACCAACTTAAACAAAGTGAACTAAGCAACTAATACAAAAAATCTTTAAAATTGCAATTGTCTTTTTCATTCATTAAAAATCGGTAGGAACAATATATTAAGATCCTATCATTTGTTTTCAAATAAAATTGTCTTGTATACTTTATGAGCAAAGATGGATGGTGATTAGCAGTGGAACTCAGGACGCGCCATTCGTCCAACTTGGGACTCATTAGCTGGATGTACCTGCATTCCAGAATTGATGTTCATTCCGGAACTCTAACCCAGTACCGTCCGCTCCAAACGCCATCACGTTATCCACCTAACTACTGAGTTCTAATAGCGACTAACCTTTGAAATGTGGGTGTATCCAGTTTATGAGTCCCAAATAGGACGAAACGAGCGTCCTGTATTCCACTGCTAGCCACTATCCATCTTTGTTTATAAAGCTTGTGACTTAAGGTAATATTGAAGCGATGCGCACATGATTCACATATACCAGCAAGATGGTGTTCAATTGCAGCCCTAAACAACAATGGGAAGATACAAGCAAACAATACCAAGTGAAGGTATGTTGTATACTTCCTTGAAATTATTCATAATAATAATAAATAACCGAGATAGACAAATTACAGCTATATGTACTATAACTCGTTTGTTATTTTCAAGTTTCTGTATCATAGTCATAAAGATTTGGTAACTGAAATAACTGAATTTTCCACTTTATTAATATTAACCTGTAGTTGTTACCATTGCATAACATACATAAGTTAATTATTAAGTGTTAAATATTTTGTGTAGTTCGACCGACTTTTAAAAAAAATTATTCTTTATATTATGTTATTCATTAATGAAGTAACAAATTATATCTCATGTTTCGAACCATAGTATTCGTAATATATAACGTACGGAATATAGATTTACAGTAAACTTAAATTATTCCTTGTATCATACTCTTCACACTATCAATCCCAAACTTAAAACTCATGATATAAACATCTACCTATAAAAGTTTAAAATATAATCACTTTTATAGACATGTTATAATCTAATTTCTAGATGACTAGATTTACAAGCTAAAATCATTTTGAGACTAACATCTTGGAAATGCACAACGTGTTACCGTAGTAACACAACTGTGCTTACAATTAATTAGTTTAATTTAAATGATGTAGTGGTGTTGTATTCTACTTTATTTCAATTAATTTTCTAGCAGTTCTCTATTCTATGGGTAACTTGTGTGCTGAAGCGGAAAAACGTGTAATAATATATATATATATATATATATATATATATATATATATATATAGAACACATGGAGACTGATAAAAGGCACTTGTTCATAGTTTCATTTTGTTGACAGTAATCAACAAATTACATTTCTAAACTTAATAAATGTAAAACACAAACTACACCAACATACATTTTCATTATAAATTTTACCATTCCGAATACTATCAACATGATTAATAAGTGTATATATTCTTTCTAAAAATCTATACATACATTCTTTAAATGAATACTGGTTAATCTAATAGGTTCATAGGAGAGATACTTAATATTGAATAGTTTCTATAAAATCATTCTTTCTTTTGATCTATTCATATCAATCAGTCACTTAGAAAACATTTCACTACTTAATTATTTCATCAATTAATTCCAGTGGCATTTTATCAATCTAAAACGATCAAGTCCATGTGTAAACATTAACTTTTCTCATAAAATATTTCCTTTGTTACAATGTTTTCATCTCAAATTTATAGTTACACCTATATTACAGCGCTTTATTTGATCCCCAATTGGTATACTTGAATATTCAAAGAAAATTATTGTGTTTATATCATTGTTTGCTTCTTTTTCTTTTTTTTAAAATTATTTTTAAAAAAATAAAAAATTTCTCTACACGTGCCATTTCTTTTCTAGTCTATTTTCTTTTCTTTTTTTTTCTTTTTAGTTATTTGGTCTACATTCATTTTGATAGTGTTATATCATTAAACGTGAGGTTTGTCATATTTTTTTTGTAAATGAAGTTGTGATTTCACATACTTTTTATTCCGTCGTTGTTATTGTAGTTGTTGTTGTTGTTGTTAATTATGAATGATTAGAATGATGAAGAAAAAATGTTATTTGATTATACAATCGGTTAGTTGGAACGTAAACTAAAATATCATTCTGATACGTTTAACCTCAAATAATGAATTATGATAACTTATTCCTGTTAATAATAATAATAATGTAACAAAACAAAAAAGAAGTTTGATATATAAATTCAATGTGATCTCTTGGCAACAATCAAAAGTACTAATCATAAAAAACAAATTTTTAAAAAAAAAAACTGAAAATCATACACATTGAAAGGCATGGAAAATTAGGTTATTATATATTAGTGTTGTATATAAAGAAAGAGAACAGAATAGATTCAAGTTATACACTGTGTTATATTAGATACATTTTGATATTATTAAACACTTTTCAATCATTACAATTAGTTTTAAAACAAGATTTTTACTCTAATAGAATGTATATATATATATATATATATATATATATCGGTGGATAACGAAAGGATAGTGAACGTAGCTGGGAGACATTTGATTTGTTTATGTAAATTCTATGGAGAAATAAGTGGTATATTATTGTTTCAATTGTTGTTTTATCACAATCGTACCATAAGATAATTTCATTACAAGAAATTTAGACAAACTTTTGACATGAATGCCAATATTATTAAGAAAAAAATACTGAAGAAAAGAACTCGAATAACCTCTGGTACCTTACTATAAAACAGCTAAATGTTTTATTGTAATTTTTATTCACTTTTTTTTAAATGTAGTAAATAAAAATAACCCTCATTAATAAACAATGTAAAACTATGAGAGAAGATAAAGATGTTTATGTAGTCTATATATGGACTGATTATAGACAACCATTTAAACACTAGGAATTCTTAGGTGATATATTTTCATGACTTGACTACAGGAGATGAAACCTAAAAATTTTAATCTCTTGTTAGACTTTTAACTTATATACCATTGTATTCTCCATATAAGCTATAAATAATTGAAAATTTTTAGGAAACTCCTTGTAATACATGTTTAGATTCAATGACCTTGTTCATAGATCTTTCTGTTGTCATTTACATAGACGGTAATATAATTTCAATTTGCCAAAAATGATTAAGATAATATCAATCAAACAAAATTAAATGAGTAATTAAACAGTAAAAAAAATGTTGTGGAATGATTCGTTATTTAGTTACTTTACGTGATAACATTAAGAAAATAAGTCTATTGTCATAGTTAAATGAATGAAGAATGTACTACCTTTTATTCATATTGAAATAGTTCAGTGTAAGTAATAAATGATCATAAAACAATCATGCTAATCTACTGTTATAATTTATCGGATAATTAGTATTAGGAGGAATAGGAAGAAGAAAAGAATCGGCATTTTTTAAGACGAATAATACAGGTTTAGTTATTGCTTCCATATTCATTTTCATGAATGTACGTTCATTTTCTGATGAAATTGCAAAATGATATTTTTTTAGTTTTTGTTCATAATAGTCAGTAATGTTACTCATTATATAAACTAATCAGAACTGTAACTGACAAGTTCTAAATAGAATGAAATGAGCTTTCTGAACTTCATTGTTATTTAATATTTATTTAAATTTAGTTTAATCCCAGAATTTTGCTGATTATTGATTGATCAACAAGATGTACCATGGTAAACTAAACCATTTGATGAATGTTAGCTAAGCTACAGTAATCCATCAACTTTTATTCAGTTGATTAAGTATACATGATATTTCTTTTATATATTACCACCGCTGACTTAACTACTGTGAATTCGGTGTTCATCTTGCTGTACTAATGCGGTATGGCAACTTGGACCGATGCATATGTGTGCCTAGTCCTATGTTGTAGCTGACTGACTGACATGATTTTATTAGTCTATACGACGACTCCTTTGTTGACACTGATTATGACAATGAGGTCTATAAGTAAAATAATTCATCTTGAATCAGATTCTTTATTGTTAAAATTTCAAAGTTATTTGATGGGTAACTTGTTGTTTTAATAACAAGTTCATTGTTTATACATGAATGACTTTTAGAAAAGTAATGAATCCCTAAGAGATGTGCGTTAGTGACACTTCGAAGATAGTTCCACAAAAAAATGTTCAGATAGATCTATATTAGACTTTATTAGAAAAACGAACAATACAAACCTGCATTACAAACCTTGATTATTTTCCACTAAATATGATATTAGTTACGTTTCAAGTATTTATAACCAGTAACTATTGACCTTGTGAAATCAGTAATACAAGGTTACTTACAGAACGGGTTCATATTTACTTTGAATAAACGTAGATCATGTTAATTTAAAAACAAAAAGACCAGTATTATTCAAAATAAATGGTTTGAACCAAATGTTGATTTGCAATTAACGCTGAATTCATCTTTAAATGATAAAAAAGGGTCTCAATCTTATAGTAACAATTAGCTTGAATAAAATCATATATCTTTAGTGTCTTAAATTTGATTTAATCCCGAAGTAATCATGTGTAATGAATTTAACAGTCTAAAAAGAAAACAGTAAACCAACCAAGATCTATTCGGATAAACTTATAGTAAAGGGAAAAAATCAGTTCAGTTCAACTTATAGGAGTTTTAGATATTTTTTTTGTTCAATTTACTCCATTTGATATAAGAAACACTAATTGTTCAACATATCAATCTGTTTAAATGTAATTGCTAAGTAAACTAACGAAGAAAAGAAAAATTAGAAAGATGTTATCATCAAGACGGACTATACAAAAACTCTTGGTAAAACATTTTGATATTAGTAGTAAAATATCGAAAAACCATTAATCATATTTGTATTATTGAGATGAACTAAAGTGTACAATTATCGTGACTATAATTCCAACCAAAGAAAATTTACTTAATATCACTTCAACAAATTAGATAAACATATTGAAGAAGTATGGAAACTTCAGTTTAACAGTATGGAAATATGCTAACCTGTTAAGAACATTTAAAATGGGTTACATTAACGATTCATTAAATTATTAATCTAACTATATATTATTGATATTTTCATCAATAAAAAAATAACTGAATACCAATAATAGGGATTCATAAAACGGATGATTGTAAATATATGTATTTAAAGTTCCAAACTTATTTCACTATTGATTATGGTTTCGCCCCCAAATGCCCTGGTATGGCCGAGAGTGGGGTGGGCCCACCCTCCCCCTCGAAATGCTCTCACACGGCCACGCGTATACAGCCTCTGCCACACAAGCCCTACTCACTGCTTCCTCGTGGCGGGGGTGTTGTTTACGAAAATGAGAGGACGAAAAGCGAATGTCCGGCGCTTTAACTGGATTCCAAACTAATGGTGCACATGAGCTCTAGTATCATGCGGGAATAAATGGTGTATGAACCAATTTCTTGGTCATCGGCTACCATGGGAATGCATCTCCTCACGATGCTCCACTGCCTTGTGGATCAGACCTTTAGGTCAAAGGTTCGGGGTGTGGCCCCCTAAGAAAACCAACTGCTTCGGTTTGGGCACCCGGGCAGTATCACAGCCCACACACAAACAAAATCAGATGACAATACTTACGGAAAATACTATACTTGCTTCGATTAACAGTCAAACGATTCTAGTTTTAGGATAGAGATAATAATCATGTACAATTTATTATTATGGTTTGAAATCTAAAATCAATCTAAGATTATTTCATATGGAATATATTTACCAGACGAATATGAGATGATGATGATGATTATGTAATATAGATATGTATAACATCTATTAAAAGAAGGTTAATATGCAGTTTCATTTTTCTTCTTTATTTAATAACTAAATAGTTGAATCAGGTTACATTCCAAAGAATAAACGTTAATAAATGTATTTATTGAAGCAAACGTCATTAAATTATAACAATAATTAATTATATATATATATCTAATTATGACTTAAATGATGAATAGAATTATGATTCATTATAGCAAAATACTCATATATAACTAACTGAAATCATAATTATGTATAGAACAAGGAATTGATTAAAATGAATTATCAGTAGTTATAGATTTCAATTAGACTCTTCAGTTTAGGATGAAATGAATAAAGAATTGAGTATAATAAGTTATATCTTCCTCAAAATACATATGTACATAGTTACCAATAAAATTGATCGATAATATTGTGACGCAATAGAAGATCTACTCTTTGAGCTTTTAATTACAATTAATGAATTGATATGCTGAGGAGTCTCATACAAGAACAAAACGGTCACTCATTGCTATAAGGTTTCTCCATGGTGATTTAGTTTTAATTGACTCATGAATTAAACTATTAAATTATCGAATTGTTTGAATTACCATTTTATATAATTGCTAATTATTATAGATCGATTTCATTATTAATTATAAGTTCATTTTATTAGTCTTATTAAATAGATGGTTCAATTTTTGTTTTGTCTTTTTTTCTTAATTACTCACAAACACTGTTCTGAATGTTCTTCAAACGCACGAATCAACTTTAGGCTAGACTTAAATATATTAAAAACTGGAAGTGACAACGTATATTCACTTTTCTTCTACAATTCAGTAAGGAATCAGCTTTTTTTATAAAACATTTATTATTATAGATTTCAGATAGTTTATCATCAGACTATTTTGGGATTTTGATTGAGATCATGAACCGATGGATGTTAGACCACCTTTAGAAATTTGAAAGCAATGGACGGCCGTTTCGTCCTTTTGTAGGACTCCTCACGAGTGCGCATCCACGATCCTGCTCGCAGGATTATTATATTATTATTACAGTGTTATTATTTATCTCAAGGTCTAACCGTTTAATCATGGAATATCTAATTATTTCTTATTAATATAATGATATTAAACAAAATCCACTGATATTATATGTTATTACATAATATATACAAAATAAATCAACGGTAATAACTTACGTTAACAGCGTATATACAAAAAGAATAACTATTGAAATATTCAGTTAAGTTTATTTAAAATAAACAACACAGATTTTACTATTTCCTGAAATCACTTATATTTATTAACAAGTGTTATCACTGTAACTATTTCACAGATGGATAAATAGATCATACACAAATGTAGTAATAACAAATTTTCTTTAAGCGAATCGATTGGTTAATCAAAACAAGCGTAACAAATCAGGTATTAAAGTAAATAATTGAAAGGAGGGTGATAATGTAATGGATATTTAATGATGACAAAAGAAGAATAAAGGGACCATCTTTATTTAGAGTTTTAGTTATCATTAAAGGTAGGGTGGTGATATAGACGAGGGACGAGAAATAATGTGAAGATGTGTATTTAGTCATGCACTTGTGTGTGTGTGTATATATACAAACGATGGACTGAGTGGCGTAAAAAAATACGGAAACAACATAAAACTCTAACCTAATTTCCAGGACGCTTGTCTTTTTCACCATGTGTCTCATGGGGAGAAGAAATTAATATGACTAGAAAGAAGTGTTTATTATATATGTTCCCAATATAATAAACCAATCAAAGAAAGTTTGTCTGAAAGAGGAAATGATTTTTCATATTTGTATACATTTAAAAAGGAAATTTATCTATTAGTTTGGGTTTTTTATTATATGGATAACATAGTTAAAAATTCACATTTAAACCACTCAGCCTTAAGAACTCAAGATTTCTATTATTTTCTTTTATTTTGTATTTTAACAATGGGGAAGTCTAAATATTGAAGGATAACTTAGATAGAATAGATGAATTGTGGCTAGAAGTGGAATCCAAGATATGTTTCATGTGATTTTAAACTTGTTAGATGGATGTACATTCATTTCAATGATGATGTTCACATCGTAACTCGAATCCAGTGCCCAACGCTTCAAACACAGCATATCATCCACTGAATTGTTGGGTTCAAGTGATCATTAACTTGTTTAACAGGTACGATATATTATTATTCGAATTTACTTGAAGCATATGTACTGGGTTCTAGTTCCAATATGAACATCAACACTAAGGTAAATGGAAATCTAGCTGGTGAGTCCTAGGTAGAACGAAATGAACTTCCAGGGTTCCACTGCTATATATATACCCGATAGTCAGCGGAAAGTGACACAAAATGATATGATTTGGACTGTGAAAAATGTTTCTGGCAATCATGGTGTCCTTCATTTCCAACGAAACTGATCATCCAGTTCATAATGAGTGGTAAAGATTTGTAGATGAATTCAAGTTATCTGATATGTCTGCTAAGAATGGAAATAAATTGCTTAAGCGTTTGTGCAACCACCTTTTCAGGTTGTATTCCTTCGGTCTATAGTGGAAGAGTTTTGTGACGGATTTCCTGAAGTCCAAATGGAATCCTGTCACAGAAGGAGTGAACAGTGTAACTCAATGAGGACAATGAATATGAATCACGTTAAGTCAAATTTAATTAGAGTTTAAGCTAAGAAATAATGGAATCTGACCTAAAAGTCTAGTGGTACAATATTCTTCACGAAACTTTAGGGCTCTATCCTTGAACAAATATGAAAATGTGGTTC